CCCCCCAAAAAAAAATAAATCCATAAAAAACCAACCCAAAACGAAACGGATCCCAAACCAAAATACCCTCCCTTGGTTGGGGCTCCCCCTCAACTCCTCGCACGAGGAACCGAGCGCCGGGCACACGCGGCAACAGGTTCTGCTCGCTCACATCTCCCTCCCACGCGCGCGCACACGCACACGCTCGCAAAATGGGACGAGTCAAAAGTGCCGGCTTGACTCATCAGCCACATGATCAAAGGCTGGATCTAAAAAAGGGGGAACTGGTTTACTCACTGTCTTGGGTACAATCTGTTTCTTGGGCTGCCCGATCTTGAACGGTATCCTGGAAAAGAGAGAAAAAAAAGGAACGTGTAAGCAAGCGATGCTGGCCTCAAACAGCCCAGCCTCGCGGGTCTCCTCCTCGGTGATGGGTTTTGGGGTGAGCAGGGCTTGTCCTGGGGCAGCTGCACCCCTTTCCGTGCGGCGTGATCCCTTCTCCGAGAGCCGCAGCCTCCCCTGAGCTCTGCACCTCCATCTCCAGCCGCAGCACATCCCTTTCCCCACCCTCCCACCGTCCTAGCAAGGCAAATAAAAGCGATGGATGCTCCAGGCATTCCTTGGCAAAATAAACGCTGAAGAACATGCTATGTTTAAAAACAAATCCGAAGGGGAGGGGAAAAAAAAAAAAAGAAAAAAGAAAAAAAAAGAAAAAAACCCACTAAACACCCAAACCCTGTAAATATTTAGAAAAAGGATATTAAAAAAAGTAACAACCCGAGTGTGTGGAGCTGTGAGCTGCTTCAAAGGATTTCTCTGATACAACAGCTGTAGGAGCAGCTCACCTGCCAGCAGAACAGCCTTCATTCTTAAAATCTTTAATATGGTTGCTAGTAAAATCTGGGTTACCTGAATGATTTTCCCCACGCAAGCTAGCTCAAAGGTGAAGAGTACTCAAAATAAATTACACAACATATGTAAGGGTGGCTGGGTCAGATGGGTACAGCCATGCAGCCATCCTGAAAATAATTGGATTTCTTTCACCTATCAGTATAATAAAAACTCAGGAATTCAACTGCTGTTTTCAATGTATTTAATTAAGTTAAAGAGGTACTGCTTCGTTAAAGCAGCTCATCCAAAATCTCCCAACATTTTCTGCATCACGCTGCTTTAACTAAAAAGAAAAATATCGGTCTCGTAATGAAATGCAAGTATCTTTTCCCAGAGATGCATCGCCTAGAACATGCCTACAGCTCAGCGGCATCGCCATCGCATCCCAAACCCGCACCAGGCATTTCTTGGGAAGGTGTCCGAGTCCTCTCTTGGACCACTCCAAATTCTCACCCTGTTACCCAAAGTCTAAGGTAATAATATGCATTTTAGGACTCTGCCTTGGCCACTGGTCACGCTGCCTCCCAAGCTGGCTTTTCTCCCTGCCGGGCAGCAAACCCATACCTGGTTCTCCGTTTGCTCCTCATCAGCTTTCCTGATGAATTCCCCCGTACCCGTGCTGCTCTAACACCGCTCGATCAGACAACTGGAACCCCAGAAAACATTTTTTATTAGCGCAATATGCTGTAAAACCCAGCTATGAGCCATGCCACATGATGGGAGAAAGTGCTTGCGACACAACGACACGCCACCCGCGCAGACGAAGCAAAACCAAGATTCTCCAACAACCCGATCCCTCCCGGCCTCGCTTCTGCCCATCTTTGCCGTTGTTTTCAAACCAAGGGTGTAATTAGCCACCGGTAATAAATCGGGGTTGCAACCCCTGCGTCCCTCCCGAGCACCTCAAGGAGCGCAAGGCAACCTGAGTCACCAGGTTTAAATTTAAATTTTTCTGGAGAACTTCCTGTTTATGGTTCTCCGGTTGGACCGATATAATTTTAGGTTGTTAACCCTTTCCAGCTCCTGCGGCAGACCTGGCCGCCGTGAATCACACTTCTTTTATAAACAAACACTCGTCTGGTGTATAATTACCCTGTCAATAACTGGGTGTGTGGTGCCTTACAGGAAGAAAGGGAAAAATAAAAAAAAAGGATTTTTTTCTTTGTGTTTTCCTACATGGGTCAAATATAAACTAAAATGAGGCACTTCCCTTACTCTCGCAGGCACAGGCTGTCCCATCCGCAGCCAGGTGCCGTCACTCGATGTTTTTGGAAGTGATGGCATCAATCTATCTCGGTGGAAGGAGGAGAAAAAGATGTGGTCTTTACCCAGGGGAGTGAGTTAGCCCAAGAAAAACCAGCTTGGATGATGAGCCACGGGGGCTGCTGGGCAATCTCCGGCAACACGGGAGCGAGCGCAGGGTTCGAGCTGGAGCTAGGCTGGTTCTGAGTGGGAAAGCACAATTAAAAAGGGCAATTAAAGCATTACCTGTGTACAACCTTCCCCTCTCCCTTGTCCTGCCAATGTGGATTATTTAGAGAAGCAATCCCGACTGTCGTTGTCCGCTGGCAAGTTGGGTTAAATCAAGGCAATTCTGGTAATAAAAGAGGGGAACGGGCAGGGCAAAGCCGTGAATTGGCGTCGGTTGGGTACCGCGGAGCTGGCAGCGCAGGCAGGAGCCGACTGCCTTAGTGGGGAGCACAGGGGGTCCTGTCCCACCCCATCCCCCATCTCCGAGGCACCGCGGAGGGGAAGGAAAAAAAAAAAAATAATCCCAGTTACTTTCTGCCAGAACAAAAGAAAGTCACTGGAGCGCTTCACAACGCTGCAAATACGTTTGAAGCAGTAAATATCTCTATTAGCATCGTGATGCCACTTGGCTAATTATGTCTGTCTCGGTAAAACCTCTAAAAAATAACCCTGTGCAAGTTAACATCTATTCACCAATTTTATTTTTTTTTTTGGTTCTATTTTACAATTTGAGATAATCTTCCTGGTTTCTGAATCTTTGCCTCTTGATACAGTTTGGGGCCGGGGGGGGGAAGAGAAAAAAAGATGCATAAGCAGGAACAAAAGCAGTAAGGAAGAAAAAAAGATGAGAGGTATGGATCTTATCTGAGCTTTTAAAACAAACGGATACACCCCACACCTCAAAACACGACGGCAAGTTCCCGCTGGCACCGAGAATTTTTGCCCCTCCGTGAGTCGGCATCCCAGCCGGCAAAATGGGGGGGACAACATGTGCCTGACACAGCAATGTTACAACCATTTGCTTAAAAATTAGGAGGCGCCGGGTGTTTTATTCTTGTTAGAAAATGTACGATGGGTATAACGCAAACAAGTCAGAGAGAGATGGGTCGGTATCTTTTATTGCCGCGGATTGCCAGCGGAGCACGGTTATCGCCATTACCTTAAAAGCTGAGCACGGGTCTATATACACCGAAGGAAAACCAGAATCGGTGTATTTTTTGGATCTCTCATTTCTGCTGAGCGAGAGAAAGCTGGGGTTGTGTTTGGGGTGTGAAATCCCTTGAAATCTTGTTCCTGAAGAGCACGCGTGCGCTGAGTCACAGCCGAAGCGTTCCCACCCCGGTCCCCCCCCACGCCGCAGGGCTCGGGGAGCATCCCGGCCCCTGGCCCAGGCCGGCCACCCGCACCCCTCCCGGGGAGGTCACCGGGAGTTTGGGAAAGCAGTGGGGTTCAGCTGGGAGGGAGGAGGGCAAAGCACTGCAGGGAGGGGGTGGGAAGAGCTTAAAGTAGGAAAAAAAGTGTGGGTGGAGAGAATCCTGCAAGCTTCTACTCGGGGATGCTCAGGAACCCCAGGGAGGGGAAGGTGGGAGAAGCTGTGGCTAATTTTCTCTGAAGTTTCCCCAGCAATGTCATATATTTACTTGGCTTTTCCATGTGCAAACCCAGGGCCACACACCAAAGCAGTTAATTCTCCTCTGGATGCACAGGAGAGTTGCAAACAAACCTCGCAGGCAGGGGGGGAATACAGCTCAATGAGGTCTGTAGGGAACTGGAGTTTAAAACATGTAGCTCCCGCTCCCACTCTCCGTCAGTCCCCTGAAACGAAGGCACGCAGGAATTGCCAGCATGAATCAGACCAAATCATTGCTAATTTAGGGAGGTGAAAGTCCTTTTGTTGCGTTGGACCGAGCAGGACATCGAACTTTGGCACCATCCCCTGCCCGAGGCAGGCGGTGGGGAGGCTGGGGAGCCCGGTCGGCGTTCGGAGCATGCACAGGGGATAAATAATCGGTGGATGCGCCCCTTTCCCCACAGCATATTTCATATAACATCGCTTTGCAAGCCCTAATCAGGCCCCAGAAGACCCCTGGCAGATAAGCAAGGGCTAAGCACAAAGCGTTTTCACCCACAGCTGATAAGCCACTGCCCCTGGGGATGCTGAGCAAGGGACCAGGGAGGGAAGGAAGGATGGATGGATGGACGGACGGACGGAGCAGGGAGAACCGAGGCCGGGGCAATGTGCTCGCTCACACCGCGTTTTGGAGGTTAATTACCCAGACACCTAGGAAAAGCGTCGCCGAGTCTCCGGTGATCGCGCACCATTAAAATCAATATTTCTGCCACAGGCAGTGGCGGACACGGGCGGCATTCGCCCAGGACCCGCAGGTCTCAGTGTGGTATAAACCGGTGGGAATGACATTTTCTCTAATTATTCAACTTTCAATATTTTGTTGTGTTTTGTGGGGTTTCTTTGCTTTGTTTTGTTGTTTTGGTTTGTGGTTTGTTTTTTTTTTTTTTTTTCCCTCTCGCATCGAAACCCCAAGCGCCAGCAAGCCAGCGCAGCCTGGATTTCCGCCAGAGCTTTTCACTCGTTGAATTTCCACCAAAAATGTCAATTCTTTCACCGGAACGAAACTTCTCTCTGCCTGCAGCCAGGAGGACAACACCCAGCCTTCCGTACTGCGAGGGGTGATCCCAACCCACCCAGCCCGGTCTTCCCAAAGATTCCCAAAGCACGTGGCATGCCAAGGGCTTCTATAAAACCATCCATTTACACCCCATCCTCTGTGAAGCCAAAAATTGGCCCTAAGCTACCCCAGAAATTCCCCCTGTGATAGTGAGGGGCCCTTCCCCAAGTCCTGCTCTGCTCGGGGGAGAGCCTTTCACTTCGCCCCGGCTGTGCCAAGCTCCTGCTTTGGGAGAGGACTCGGCTCAAGGTGTAATCGCAGCCAGGAGACCTGTCTGTTCCCGAGATCGATTGCTACCCGGGAGAGATCAAAGCGTTCCTGCAAACATCAACAGGAAGGTCAGGAGCATCTGAGAAAGAATATAATAGGTAATAACTTTCACTTTCTCATTGCCGTTATCGAGTGAATTTGAGTGAGCATCTCCATGGCCGGAGAGTGCTTCTCCTCCCCGTGCCGTGTCTCCTGCACTCAGGTAAGCATCGCTACAAGACGTCGGGGTTAGGAAAGGAGCTTTCCA